GGGGGGGGTCAGTGGGGATGTCCGGGGCGTCTCTAAGGGAGGGTTAACCCCCCAAAACACTCACAGGGACGGCCATTTCTGCCTCGCTGGGGGACGCTGGGAGGAGATGCTCCTGGCTGCTGGCGGCGTTTCCGTGACGACTGCGGACACAGAGGGGTCAGGGGTCAACGGGGGGGGTGGCAGGCCTCAGACCGGGGCCTCAGACCACCCCCCCCCCCCCCCCCCCCCCCCGGGTCTGGGGGGGGGCCCCCCTGGGGCCCCCCGGTTTTCGTCTCGGGGGGCGTTTGATCCCGGGACTCCGCTGGCCCCCCCCGCCGGGCGCCCCCCCCCCGCTGGGGGAGGCCTCACTGCTGCAGGAGGAGGAGGTGCAGGAGGAGGAGGAGGAGGAGCAGGAGGAGGCTCTGGACACGGCGAAACCCGGGGAGCGCCACCCCTGTAGGGTGGGAGGAGACAAGTTCTTAGTGACCCCCCCAAAATAAAGAAACATGACAAATACAACAGAACCTCTACTTCCAATCGCCTAAACACACAAATTTTCCAACATATGAAGTGAAATTTGATCAAAAATTGAACTCGACAACCTCAAAGTAGAGAAATTTAGGTTTTCTCTCAGAGGCTTTATCAAGTTATTTTAGGCTACATGGGACCTTTTTCTTAGATATTTTGACTCTTTGAATTTTCTTGACCCTGAGGATACTTGAATGTCTAACATGATCTCTACTTATCTATCTACACTTATTTATTCATGTCTACTCTTTTTGATCTGTTTTTCTCTTTATACTTCCTATTTTTATTTATACATTTTTCTAATTATCTTTTTTATTTTTATTTATACATTTTTCTAATTATCTTTTTTATTTTTATTTTTTTATTATTTTTTTATTTTATTAATTTGTTTATTTGTTCATTTATTTATTTTTTAAATAAATATATATTTTTTTAAATTGGGGGTTGACAGAACCGTGACATTGAGATTGTATTGACACTTTGAATTTGTCCCAACAATGTCTGTCTTATGTTCAAAATGTTCAATAAACAAAGTTAAAAACATAAAATAAAAAATTGAACTCGACACCCAAAATAAATCATCAAAGTCATAGATAAAAATATATTGAATATATAAATTAAAGAAAAATAAATAAGCTAAGTTAGTAGTATTAGTGAAAATTACAGTAAATTAGGGTATCCTGTATCTCTGTCTCCACCTCTACCTCCGTAAGCCAATAACTGCCAATAAAGTCCCCTTTTTATTGATTATTTCTTTATCATTTATTTCTTTTTGCATCTTTCTTATATAAGTAATTGTTTTTTTTTGCTATGTGTAATTATCTGTAGTATTTATTGAGGAGTTATCGTAGGTTTTTGGAACGTATTTTAGGAATTACAGTGTATTCTGATGGGAATATTTGAACCAACATACGAATATTTTAACACAGGAAGTAGGTCCTGGAGCGATTTAAATTCGTAAATAGAGCTTCTGCTGTCCAACATGTCTCCCGTTGTCGTAGAAACTGACCGAATCCTCGTTGACGACGGTCAGCAGCAGCTCCTCCTTCCCTCTGAGCCACGGCTGGAAGTATTTAAAGCCCTGTGGATGGACAACACAGGGCTATAACACACCTAGAAGCTGCCCCCCCCCCCC